AAAGATGTAAATGTGGTGTGTATAGAGGCTTTGCGTGGAAGCCATCTTGCAGGGTAGTTCTTTTGTTCATGGGATAACCTCCTTTGTGCCTATCCTGTGGAACAAAAGCAGTGGCCTGCAAAATGGCAGCCATGCAAACCCTTTATTGAGGGAAAGTGCTGGTTAATGCATTACCATGGCTACCTCCCCCCGTACACACAATAATTGTGCGACAGTACACAAAATTGAGTTGAAATCAAAACAAAGAAGTAAGGAAAGGGACAACAACCTCCCTATCGTACAAGAAGCAGATGAGGAAATAACCGTAACCCCAGTTAGCAGGGCTCTGCAGCCATAGTGCAGGCACCGTGCTCCTGCCCCTATTCCAATTAAACAAGGGACTTGGGACTTGGAATGAGTTCAGCATAAAGAACTAGTCATGGAGCCTTGCTCTATACTAGTTTTACATGTATAATCTAAAAATTCATCGAACAGAATAAACCTTACCTACCTTGAGTAAACGCAGCGACGACAAGCTGTAACAGGATGGCCAAGCAGTACATGCTGCGCTTATAGGAAATCTTATTCCTGCGGAGAGAACACGGGTTAGCTATTGAGAATAAGCCTACTCGTCTTCCTAGAGAGCCTAGCCGCACGCTACGATATTCGTGGAATGATTGCTCTATGTAGGCCTACCCATAGAGCGAGCTGTACCAGAGGTCCAGGCGGCGCGGGCGGCAAACCAACGGGCGATTTGTCAGCATGGAGGAAGGACACAAACCACGGGGTTGACACCCCCTGACCCCGGTGATTTTCAAGTCACTCGTGCAGATGGTGCGCTGTGTACCAGTACTGAATGAGTAATGTGACCTCTGACACGGCAGATGGCTGAGCTTCGAGGTGTCCTTGAGCATTGCTTGTAAATGACAGCCGTGTGCTTTACATGATCACTGATGTTTGACGTTCAGGTTAAGAAAGACGGGTTATTGAATAACATTTTCGAATACCCAAACATTGGACGTATGCGCCAAACACCCTTGGAGATGGGTGTCGCGGGGGGGTGGGCATCCCCCCTAAAAATTAAACAAAACATGAGGGAGACCCACGAACATTTCATAGCTGATGATCATGCATTCAGTTTGCCTTCATGGAAAGTTCCCCTGGGTGTGGAAAAAAGCCCCCCCCCCAAGAAAATACTGTCCGGCAAAACTGAAGTAAAACTGAAGCAAAGAAACAATCCACAGGAATGATTTGAAGACTGGTTATTTGTACCACTACAATTATGCCAAATGCAGCTTGACATGCGGTTTACTGAGGCCTATTCCCGGCGTCTTAGCCGGCATTTGAAGTTCAGGTGAGAAAGAACCAATTTCAAGTTGGTTTGAATCAATGGGACTTTCAGAAGCGCTTCATTTTAAGTTGGCATGTGCTCGTTGGAATACAGCACCGAGTGGCTCATTGTAATTTGTGTCCTGGCTTTGTTGTTTCAAAATTATATGACAGCGATTATATTTCAATTTCTAAACAGTTCATGGCCATGTGCATTTCACTCCAGTGCACAGTATACGCAAATACATATGGAACAAGCAATGGTAAGTTCCTTCATCAAAGCACCGGGAAATGGCCCGATAACCTCGTAATCTACTAAGTGAGACGAACACATAATTCCATAATTATAATCCCAATATTTAGCCCGAAAATAATTCGAATTATTTGTACACTATTATGTGACGGTAAGCTTTCAACCTAAACAGCTAAAGGTGAATAAAATGGCACGGTTATTGCAATATAATTTGCATCCTTTTTGTCAGTATCCTTTTGTTTTTAATATTCACAAATTAGCAAAAAATATTGGAGAATCCTATCAAATAATGGAGGTCAGTATAACACACATGCTGTTTTCCCAACTCATCATTCACAACTTGAACTCAGCCTTCGCTTCATGCATTCGTCAGTAGATATGTGCGTTTCCTTAAAAAAAAAAAAAAACGCCGTAAAACATAAATGTCGGGAACCCTTTAATGAGGTTCCGCTTAGTCTCATATCGACCTATTCGAAACCCCAGAGCTATAGGCAGTGCGCATGAAAGCCTTGGTTACATGATAACTTTAATCAATGATGGCGCTCACTACAGCTGCCGCTCATGGCACCCTGCTGGCACACGGAGCGAGTCTGATCGTTAGCCCGCTTCTTTATTTCTGACTCATATTCCGCGTCTGTTTTTTTCGCACTGTTCAAAATGGATCCAGAACCGAACTTTTGGAGGAGGGTGCAACATTTCTTGGGGGAGAAAATTTTTGAAGTTTCTGACGTAGGCCCAACATTTATGGCCATTCTAAAAAGGGAAGCTATACGGGAGGGTCACACCCCTCTGATTGGGAAGGAAATGAAATAAACCAAAACAGTCGCCTTTCTCTTATCATCCTCCAGAAAAAAAACATTCTGTTGGCTCCTTTTTGGGGGAGGGTCGCCCCGGTGCCTCCTCCCCCCCCCCATAATGGGTGAGCTGTGACGTCATTGGACAAGCTGTACAACGGATACTCAGGAGTGAAGTCTTTAATCATATCTTTATATGGTAAGTCCCAAAAATGGTGCAGTAAAAAGCGTGCATCAAGTATCTACAGGTATCTACCTCTATAGAGGATAAACGTGACTCTGAAATGCTGACGGTTGTCTTATTTCACACCGTGGTTATGATAAACACTGGTAGAACATTTTAAAATGGAAGTATGGAGCGATTGCGTGGCTGCCATCTTGTAGGCCAGTGCTTTCGTTCCACATTGTAGGCACAAAGGAGGTTTCCCTGGAGAAAAAAAAGAACTGTCCGGCCAGATTGCTACCGTGCAAAGAAGAGGGCATGGCTTTTCTAACACGACTTCGAACTGTTAAGCAAGTATTACTTTCTTAAATGCAAAAGTCCTTGTAGTTTTAATATGCTGGACAACTCTGTGGGGAAGAATGGTATACTTAGGCGAAACAATTATGATGTTTTGGATTGGGGTATGGTAAGAGTAAGAAATATTATATGGGCACATAGATTCCGACATTACTGTCGAGATTGTTTTATTTTCTTTGATCACAAAGTGATTCACATTCTCAAGATGTCGGGTTTCTGTAGGCCTTGGTTTCATGGATTTCTGGGAATGACTTATGAGTGTGTAAATAATTCCCTCAAACTTCTAGTCCTCTCGAAGCACTGAGAAAGTTACTTGAGTACTTCTTGCTAAGGTTGGGCGACGTCTTCGTTACATTGCAAAAGAAGACTGGCGTTCAACCTGGGCAAGAGTACCATATACTTATTACACTTTCGCCAAGTTCAGGTTTGCATTGCATAGACCGTGAAGGTCCTTTTTATAGATATATTTCATTTTTCAAAGTTTTTCAACGATTCCACGATCATCCATTCACTTGCAATGAGGGCAATGAAGTGGCTTTGATTTTTAAACAGTACCTTAAATAAACATTCCATGAACTCCAGCAGGTCTGAAAGTAGCCTCTCGCCTCCGTGCAAACTTTGGCTTCACAAGTTGGAAGTTTTTCGGATGATAAACCCCCAGGTTAGAAGCCACAAGTCACTGGTGGTTGATTTCATTACATCTACAGTGGGTCCTAATTTGGGCACTTTATTGTAAACAGTCATTTGCATATCAAATTTATTAATGTGCTCGCAAGCAGAAATCGAGCAATTTAGTGAAGTGCATCCAGAGCAAACTTTAAGCTAGGTAAGAAACTTGAATAGGCGAAGTTCTAGCCGCACCCCCAACCAATTAAGCCGCAGCCCGATGTTCGTAATGGGCTTCAGGAGAAACGGCTATGTATCCTTGTATTTGCAACGTCCTTTGACTAAAGAACTCTATGCTAGCTCTGGACCATAAACCATAGAGTTAGGTATCATAACTGAATATTCATTTATTTTATCCAACTCCGTGCTCGTCTCAGCAGGGTGTGATTAGCCTCAGTAATCGTCGGAATCCACTTTTGGCCCCAGTTGGAGAGGGCGTCTCATATTTCAACAGAGGGCGGGCGTCTTGCGACCATGTTGTAAAGTTCTGCTGTGCATGCTGAGGAAAGGGAGCAATTTGTGTGATTTTGCATGGACGCTGTGGATGGATGGGACGTAGATGACCACCTACTTCACTTGGTCACGGAAGCGAGAGGTCAGTTTTTCATACAACTGAGACCATGGAGTTGGCCAAGGCCCAACAGCTAACGTTGAAATCCTAACGTTTGTCGTTAGTCCGAGTGATGCCGGAGTTTGTCGTGTTTGTCGCCAGGATTTTTTTGGGGGAGGAGGTTCCCGTTGCATTTGTTGGGCAAAGCATAACGTCATTTTAGTTCATCACCAGTACAATGATAAACCAGCATGAACGATGGTGTAAGGTCGATTCCGATGTTTATGGGTGCTTCTCATCCTCTTTCTTCTAACCTTGTTTTCATTACTCTTTTGGGGGGGGGGCTTACCCCTAATAGAAAGCATCCCTTATCACAAATACTGTGTGGGTGATTTTGCTCAATGAAGGAGCAAGCATTGCTCCTTTTTCCTTCCCACAGTGCCTTTCTACCATTGTGCAAAATCACCCATGCAATATTTGCCATAAGGCTTTATAATATGAGTTTGATTAGGCCTAAGGCATAATCTCAGATTGTCTGACCAGATGTATTGTCTGGCCACATTGTCACAATTCACAAATCTTTGCAAGATGCAGCTTGTGTGCATGCAGTAATTACTTACCGCATCATGATTTTTGATTCAGCTTGTGCCTAGTCGGCCATGTTTGAAATGTTGTAGGCCTATGGTAACTTTCTTCCACACAAGTGAACCTCCCTAATTTTAACCATTCGTAAGGGCACTATTGAATATTTTCTCTCCGAGAAAGACAGCTCATTTATTAAGTGGTTTGCACCCTTACTTATTGGCCAGTTGGTGTGCTGTCTTCTCTATCCCTGTTATGAACATAAAGATCGCAGTTGGAGCCAGAATAGGCGTCTAATAGTCTTCCATCTTTCCTATTCCTGATGCCACTCCACTTCTGCAGTAATAATATGGCTTGAGTGACAGTTCCAGTGAAAAGCACACCGTAGTTGGTGTCAGTTGAAAAATAAAACATAGAACAATTTTTTTTTCTCTGACAGCCAGCAAAAGTAATGTAAGCCGTAAAAATAAGTGTTAGGAACTAATTTCTCACAGATCTGTATCTGCCTGATGAAGTACCTCGAATTGATGGGCCGCCATCATCTTTGGTGTTTCACCGTGACTGGGTCTGTCCCAACAAACCTGTCCTCTTCAAGGGATGTATTGATCACTGGGGTGCCCTCTCCAAATGGACTCCTGCCTACTTGAGGTCAGAATAAGTCCTGCCAAAAGGGGCCAAAAGGTTTCCCAAATTTCCATAACTGAAGTTTTCAACCTGAGTAGATGGAGTTGTTCAGTCAAATTTTAAACACAATTACAATCGTGTTTAACAATTAACATACACATTCAAGTTTCCAAGTTGAGCAATGTAAAGTGTCTTAAATGACTTTGCACATAATTAACTGACACAGATCCCATTACACTGTACGAAAAAGAAAAAAGATGATTTGATCATTGTCGGTACACAAGTTGGGAAGTACATGTTCAAGTACATGTATGACTCGGTACAGAAACTTGGAACCAAGCACTTCTACTGATACAACTTCACCTATCAGGCATGTTGTTTGCATAAGTAAACAGTTACTTTTCTTGTTTGAAATTTTTTGTTCTCGAGTTTTATGATTCTCGATCATGTCCATGCAGGAATTTCAAATTTCTTGGCCCCCAAACCACTTTGAGGTCGTACATCGGTCCAGTCTTTTGAAATAACCTTTAAATCAATTTCTCAATAAAACAAACAACCAACAAACAAAAATGAAGTACAATACTCATATTAGCTCATTAATTAATACACACATGATTAACTATGGAAACAAACTTGAGAGGAAATGCACAAATATAGGGAGACGTGACATGAACAAATCTTGGAATTTTTTTGCAGTGGATTATTTCTAAAACTGCTTCAGTTGTAATTTCATAGAATTCCAAGTGTATGCCTAATTATTGAAGGTGTCTTTGAGTTGAAATTTGTTTAATTTACGGGACATGTGAAGTGTGAGTATATCTGAACTTGGCTTTTTCAGGGAAAAGATCGGTGACCAGACAGTGACTGTAGCAGTCACGCCTAATGGGCTGGCAGACGCTGTCTACCAAGACAAGTTTGTCATGCCCGAGGAGAGACTGATGCAGTTTGCATCTTTCCTCGATATAATTGAAGGGAGGCTTCCAGGAGAGGCACAGCACGCTCAGGAACAAAGCGAGGTGTTTTATGTCCAGAAACAGAACTCCAACCTACTGTCAGAATTCAACGACATCATTGATGATGTGGAGACGGAACTGCCGTGGGCATCAGAAGCATTGGGTAAAACAATTGAATCAGTGTAAGGAAGCAGTTTTACCAGAGTTCCCTCTCAAGGTTTTCAGGATTCATATATGAACGCTGTGGAAATAAATGACTTGAAATGAGTATTGTTCCTTTGTCGCATCCGGCAGGAAATTTTCTGTGCATTCTTTTAAACATTAAAACACAACATTTTCATGAAAATGGAAGTTGGGTTTCCTTATTGGCCATTCATAGTGAGCTGATTTAACATCCCTTCATTGCAGCTAAGAAAATTACTTGACTAAGTCTTGCAACTCATCTTCCCCATGAGTTTTGTCTAGAGTCTGTGCACTTTTTCTCTTTACAGGTAAGCAGCCAGATGCTGTCAACTTTTGGATGGGTGAAGACAAAGCTATAACTTCAAGTAAGTACTCCTGCCCGCCAATGTGTATGATTTGATGTGGAAAAAAGGCAGGTTTACAACACAAGCAGTTCCCAGTACACTGCGTCTCCGATAAAACAATTATAGAAAAAGTCTGAAGTATCCTTTTGCAATATAACTGGGCAGTTTTACATTATCTTCTTTTTTATTATGAAATGAAAGTACCTAACCGAAAAGAACAAATTGGCAGATTGTATTGTGTTTTGGAACCTACAAGCTTCTCACAAGCCCCAGTGACACCATACCAAGATGCCATGATGCAGCACATTAAATGGCAAGGCCCTTGATGCCCGTTCATTTCCCAAGTTGTTACAAGGGGAAAGGGATTGAAGCACTGTTGTTTCTACACCATGCTATATGATCAGCTTGTCGCAGTGCAGTTTTTAACAGTTTGAAAACAGCAGCTTTTCATAAAGTACATATACAGCTATCTAGTAGCTGATTATTGGTTGATACATGTTGCCAGCTTAAGCTATCTATAGATATCTACGAGTCTGTGAAGGCTTTGCATGGTAGCCATCTTGCAGGCCAGTTCTTTTGTTCCACAGGGAAACTCCTTTGTGCATATCCTAAGGAGCCAAAAGCACTAGCCTGCAAGATGGCAGCCATGCAAACCCTCTATAGATGTCAGTATGTTGTGGTACCACTGACAAATTAAGTGACTTGTTTTGTATGATATTTTTGTATCCTAACTAGTGCACAAGGACCATTATGAGAACCTATACTGTGTGATATCTGGAGAGAAGAACTTCATTCTCCACCCACCGACCGATCTGCCCTACATACCTTATGGTAAGAAGACACCCAGTGCTTTTTGATAAGTTCTAACTCATTTTTTAAATTGTGCTGCATGCCAGGTTAGACTTCACCGTGTCCAAAGATTCTGTCTAGTACGCCCAAGCATGCATGTTGCATTCCAAGCACCTCACATTCCTTGTGTTTGCAAGGTCACCACCATCCCCATCCATAAGGTACTACTTACCCGTAAAAGTTTTTCTTCAACAACAAAATTTGTCCAAAACATACCAGTCATGATGCTTTGCGTAATAAATCTCACACAGTGCTTTACTCTAACTTCTGTGGTCTCAGAGTAAGAATCCTTTCACATGTAGCTAAATCTTGCAATATAAAGTGGCCTATTTGTGTTTATTTGAAACAAAACTAAGGCATTAGTCCCCCATAAATTAGTAAAGCTGGACAGCAGTGTCTTGATTGCTGAAGACTGTCAAAGACTGTTGAATCTGAGTTGTTACAGAGTTGGTATTTGCACATTTCGTCACCATTTTCAGTAAGACACATTTTGGCTCAAAATCATAATTTTTTCAAATTTATGTTTTTTTGGCGAAATTAAATAGACTGCAATGCCTACAGGTTGGTGTAATCAGTTTACCAAATCTACTAAAATCAGCCAAATTACAAAGATCTACCTCGGGCAAATTTCAACTAAACCACATTTTACGTTTTCATGAAGAGGCAATTTTTGTCTTCCGTAGATATAGTGTTAGCAATAAAGGGCAAATTTATGGGCAAAATTGTTTCGCCATTTTCACGAAAAAGTGAATTTGATGCCGAAAATGTATACAAATGTAAAAATTTTGCACCTCGCATGTGCTGTAGCAAAGTTGCATGTGTTTTCACAGAAAGACAAAAGTTGCATGAATTTTAGCATTTTCACAAAGAAGCCAGTTGTTTGTTTCCAAAATAAACAATTTTTATTGACTTAAAAAAGGGTTATTTGGCATTTTTTGTCATTTACAACCCCCTCTTTTATGCAGTAGCATTGGTTAAGTCAAAGGCATGCCATATACAGGAAAAATATTAAGCGTTTGAAAAAGAGACCAACTTCAAATGCGATTTCTTTGAAATCTAGATTTTACTCTTCAGTGAGAAATTTGCTTCTTTGTGAAACAGTGATGAAGTGAAAATTTCTGCATCATTCACACATTTCCGACTGGTAGTCAACCATTCTATTGCACTAATGTTATTCATTTGGTAGAGTTTGTCCCAAATTCTCTTTGACTTACTGGCATGATGCTTTGCCTGCTTCGAAGTGGTTCATAGTTTTTTTACCCTGCATGACACCCTCAGATTTGCCTAAGGTGCTCCATGTCCCTCAGGTGTGTACAAACTCTCATATCACAGCCGTTAGCCATCCTCAAGTGTCACATCTTTACAGGTACCTACCCAGCTGCCCGTTACAAGGTATCAGGTAATGGCGACTTTGATATCATTGATGAGCCAGAGGTTGGCGAGGTGCCCTGGATCCCACTGGATCCTGTCCAGCCCGACTTGGTCAGGTGGCCCGAGTACGGCCACTCTCGACCCATCCATTGCACAGTGCGTGCAGGGGAGGTGCTGTACCTGCCTTCGTTGTGGTTTCATCATGTCCAACAGAAACATGGCACCATAGCAGGTAAACAGGGGTTCTTATCTGTTGGGGATGATCATTATTCACCGAATGGATAGTTAATTTAATTATCATCACATACGCGCAAACTCTTTAGCACATGTTGATGAGACAACTTTTCAATTTTACATTTATATTTAACTGAATACATGTCCTTTTCCCTTAAATGTCATTGTATATGGGGCTAAAAGATTTGCCATATCACCTTTTTTATCGGCAGTGTTCGTTTTTATGTGCATTATTTCAATGCTTTCCAGTGGTCCCTTTCAGAATGTGTTGTAGCATTTGTTTGAGACCTCTAAATGCATCTCAATTTATTTGGCACTTTCATCCGTCATGCTTTATTCCTCTGCTATTTTGCAGTCAACTTCTGGTATGACATGGAGTACGACATCAAATACAGCTACTTCAAGTTCCTGGAGGGTATGGTCCACTATAACAAGCTGGCCTCAAAGAGGCAATGTGCCACAGGGAAGTTTTTCAGGAGCATTCAAAATGCACAAGGTAGCACCCACCCCTGAAACTGGCACAGAAGATCCCTGCTCCTGAAAAGTCAGGAACAGACAATCATATCAAATACAGCTACTTTAAGTTCCTGGAGGGTATGGTCCACTATAACAAGCTGACCTCAAAGAGGTGATGCGCCGCAGGGAAGTTTTTCAGGAGCATTCAAAATGCACAAGGTAGCACCCACCCCTGAAACTGGCACAGAAGATCCCTGCCCCTGAAAAGTGAGGAACAGACAATCATAATAGTTTTGGTATGGGGAGAGGCAGATGTGATGAAGTTAAAGTACTGTAGCACACTTACATCTGTTGATATGAGGAGAGGTAGCTAGTGTGATGATGTTTGGGTCCTGCAGCAGACCTGTATCTATTGATATGAGGAGAGGCAGGTGTGATGATGTTTGGGTCCTGCAGCAGACCTGTATCTATTGATATGAGGAGAGGCAGGTGTGATGATGTTTGGGTCCTGCAGCAGACCTGTATCTATTGATATGAGGAGAGGCAGGTGTGATGATGTTTGGGTCCTGCAGCAGACCTGTATCTATTGATATGAGGAGAGGCAGGTGTGATGATGTTTGAGTCCTGCAGCAGACCTGCATCTGTTGATATGAGGAGAGGCGGGTTCCAGAGAGATTTTTTTATGCTACCAGAAAAAAACTACCGCACGGCAGTGAGGTGGATACTCACCGCTATGACGTCACCTAGTCGAGTATGATTTCTACTTCGCAGACGCTAGGTGGAATCGGCCAATGACGGGCTTTGATTTGCCATGAATGAGGTGAAGTAATCACCGCGTCTGTATCGGACTACCGGAAACTGAATAAAGTAACTATCAAGGACTCACACCCCCTCCCTCGTACTGATGACACCCTCGATGCCCTTTCAGGATCAGTCTACTTTCCCACTGTTGATCTATCAAGTGGTTACTGGCAAGTTGCTGTTCACCCTGATGATAGGGAAAAGACCGCCTTTACATCCGGTGACGGTCTTTATCAATTCAAAGTCATGCCAATGGGTCTAACCAATGCACTCCTACTTTTCAATGCCTCGTGGAATTAGTCCTTCACTGGTACATCTGCTTAGTCTATATAGATGATGTCATAGTTGTCGGGAAATCTTTCTCCGATCACGTGCCAAACCTCGAGCAAGTTCTGTCTCGATTTCGGAAATTCCATCTAAAGCTCAAACCAAGTAAATGTCACTTTCTTCAACACACCCCGTCCATGCCCATGAACACTACTTCTGCTCTGGTCAATGACTCGACCACCACGCAGTTGAATCTTACTGCGTTATGCACCATTTTAGATATGGATTGAGATGTTAAGTCAGCCCAGCAAAATGACCCCAACATCCAGACAGCCATTATTCGGGTTACTTCTGATAATCGTCCACCTCAATCGCACTTACGTAAGTTATCACGGACCGAACGTCGCCTTTTGCTTGATTTTCCCAAACTAGCTATCATTGATGAATTATTGTGCCGTAAATCCTGTCCGGTTAGTGGTAAACCGCGAATATGTCAAGTGATCATTCCTCCATCCCTTCACTCCGCTGTACTAACCCCTCTCCATGTCAATAACCTCGCTGGTCATTTCAGCCCCCAAGAGACCTACCAGCGTTCCCTCAACATACACTATTGACCATATATTCGCAGTGACATCAAACGCTATTGTCGGACTTGCCGCGAATACGAGTCCCGCCGAAACCCCGTTCCCCGCAACATAGCTCCTGTGAAAGTAGCCAACTCGGATAAACCCTTCCAGCGTATTCTTACAGATATAACAGAATTGCCTCTAACTTCTAAGAACAGCCGGTACATACTTGTGGTCATGGATATTAGTTCCCAAAATACGTGAACTTGTTTCCTCTCCGTGATCAGACTGTCCTATCTGTTGCCAGACGTATTTTTGAGAAATATGTCTGTGAGCATGGTTTTCCAGAAACCCTTCACACTGACCAGGGCCATCAATTTGACAGTGCCCTCATCCGTGCACTATGTAAGTTAGCCGGTATCAACAAAACTCGTACTTCCTCTTACCACCATCAACCTGATGGACTAGTTGAACGATTCAATCGTAACCTAAAAGATCAGCTGGCAAAATATCTTCTCACCGTCACCCCCGGTAAATGGGACGATGTTCTACATCAAGCACAGTTTGCCTACAATTCCACTGTTCATTCTTTCATTGGGTTTCCCCATTCTACCTTGCCTAAGGTAGGGAACCCCGTCTACCCGCTAACATTATAGTTGGCTCCCCTCTGGATACATATGCATCCCCCGTATCTTACAACACCGGGCTCAAGTCCGCATTCGATCAAGCGGCAAAAGCTCAGGAACCAGCCAGCACATCCCAGGAGGTTCATTATGATAGCAAGGTCAAATTTCGACCCTGTAAACCCGGCGATCTAGTCTTGCACGATGATCCCGTACATACTCGTGCTAAACTTGCCCCTCGGTGGAAAGGCCCATTCAAGGTTCTTTCCCTCCACGCCTCCGATGACCAACATCCGGTAACTTACTCGATCATCGACCTATGCGATCCCCATGCCAAGCCCAGGCGCCTACATTACAATCGATTGAAGCCATATGTTTCACCCATCCCACCTACATGTATTTATCCTGTCACACTTGCCTCAGCGAAAACCAGTCCCACGCTACACTGCCCTTTCCGGTTCCCTTCCACCTCCGACCCCATCAGTAACCCTCCCACCACCTAACTCAACCTCCAACCGATCGTTGTCAGACCTTCCCCCAGTACTCCATTCCACATTCGCCCACAACTGGTTCGAATTCAAGTGTACCCATAACAAGTACACACACACGAAGTGGCCGATTAATTACTTGCCCTAGTTGTCTTGGTTTTACCAAGATCTGTTACTATATTAGTATCAACCTCTTTTTCAAGATGCAGTTTCACATTGATTTGTTCCTTACTCCATGACTGAATTCATCATGTTCACTTCTTGTGTATAATTTTTACTCTGTTTTATTAATTTTCCTTGTCCTTGTTAAGTAGAGTAAGTTTTGTTTTGATTATAACAGCTTACATTTAAGTGCTTTCCTGTTAGGGTTTTATGATAATGACACTATCTGCCATTTGAGATTATTTTCTTTCCACATGGTATTCAGTGTAATGACCCTTGAATCTTCATTTTACATATTATGTTAAAGTAACTTTCTGTCTTTTCTTTCTGTATTCTGCGAGAAGACTTCCACACAGTTGTTTTATTATTCCTTTTTATTAAGGTTTTAAACTTTCCCATTTATTCAGGTTACATTTCTTTTGTATTATTTCAAAAATGAGGACATTTTCTTTTTCATAGATGGAAGTAATGTTAGCCCAGAATTAGTCATTTAGACATTGGTCACTCACGTATCCTTGATCCTACTTCCGTTTAATTTCTTGGTAATTAAGATCCTGATGAAGTTCCTGTTTGTGATAAATTTTCAAGTACTGCCCCACCTCCCCAAGATTCCTAGGCCATAATTTACAACTGCAAGCCTAACCACAGTTTCAGGAAGTTATACCACCCAGCCTGCATCCCACTCTATATATTCACCCCTAAAATGTTTCATGCTAGTCAGTCCTCTCTCCGTCTTTAGCCCTGTCTTCCTCTCTAATGTCCAATGATATTAGTCCGTGTTTTCCTAATATAATAAAACACCGTCGACCCAAGTTTGTAACCGTGCCAGTTCTCAACTTTAACTCAACTCTTTGTTGGGCCACGCTTATATCAACTTTTATGGGACAAATTTAAACCTTACATCACTGTTTCACGAATGTAGTGTACACTTTTGCAATCTTCCTCATCTGAGGAGTTGCATTTCTGCTTTGTGAAGTTGTAATGGAAGTGTCGCGATCTTCAAGATAGTTGCTATACCTTGCAAATCTTGGGAGACTCCTATAAGAGGCCTTCCAGCTGTCTCTTTTGAAAAAGTTGGATTCCTGCGAAAAGGGAGACATACTTCCTAGATGCCAAAATGCCTCTTGATCATTTAAATTCGTGTGCTTGCACTTTCTTTGCTTTACTCACAACGCCATGTTTTCTTTCGAAGTGACAACGGCGAGGTTGTTCCTTGTTGCAGAAGTGATGGTTTTGTTCTTTGCTTTCTAGTCGTCGTCAAGGTAATTGGATGATCTTGTCTTTGTTCTGCTAATACCACACTGTCTCTTCTTTTTGCTCTGAGCCACTCGCTGGCTTGGACCAATCAGCAGAAGAATCCCTTTTCATCCAGAAAGTTTCTCTTGATGCGAAGACAACATTGGATTGGAGGAGATCGGTGAATTAATGGCTGCCAATTTATTAAAAAGGTTTCCGGTGTTTCATTAAAATATTACAAGCACCTTTAACAGGTGATTTCCTCAGCACAGTTCATATATCCGTCTGGAGTTCCATACAGCCATTTAAAAAAATGAATACGTTGTAGCATAACTAGTCACCATGACAGAGGCTTAAATGTGTTCTTGGACTCAGGAAAAATGAATCGAATCTTGTATAGTCGCCTCCGAAACTATATCTTATAAATCTGTGACATTGCGTGTAAGGAGATCATGCATTGGGTTGTTAAGGACATGCTGACTGACTGTGGAAAGAACTTTAAAATACTTTTTATACTTGTGATGATTGGTCTTTCAGTTGGATAATTATTGAAGACGGTCTGTTTAACTTGTTTGACTTATCATGAACTGAATTTCGGCCAGTTGCGTTTTTGTTGCGTTATGTTATCTTTTGGGGTCTATAACAAATTGCTCTTTCAGTAATACATTTAAGTATTAACTAAAAACATTTCTTCTGACTTTTCAGAGTACGTAATTCAGTCATATGTTAAAAGCTGTTTCAGCTGTTACTGATTTTATGTCTACCTTTGTTTAACCGTTATTCATGTATAGGTTAGCATTGGTATCTGTAATTATTGAAATTGAAAATGTGTTGTGTTTGTCTTGTAAATTTACTTTTACCGTTATAGTCAGACTGTTATTCTTAGAGTTTATAATAAGTGTAGTTTGTCTTGTTTTGTTTTGTTGGACACATCTTCCACAAGCTTTGGCTTATAGGAGGTTTCTTCCGCAGTGTGGAAATAAATCTTCTTGAATTGAAATTAACTTATAACTTGTATTTTGCAGCACGATTGGTATTTATGCAGTGAATTATAACTATCCCCTCTCACATTTTTTTGACTTGCGTTTACGTTCCAGTCAAATTTGGAACAACACTGACGTTCTTGTTGTAAATTTAACGCTGGCGAGTGGAGACAGACTGAAAATCAGCCTTATTGAAATTCGTATTTGTATACTTGGTACTTGTGTCTCTCGAGTACTGAATGGTACGCTTAGCAACCGCGATGCAATGATGCAACCCCACTTGCGCATTGCGCCCATTACAATTATAGGATATCTCGGTATTTGAAGAGATCGGGAAGTATACCACACCTCCAAATAAAATGCCGAGTCGTAGAAACCTACCTGACCGTGTCCTCAATGCTGCACAGTTCAAACACGTCACTGCGTGTCTCTACGCCATTGAAGGTTTGCGTCATCCGTCAACTTTCACCCGCCTGGTTTAATGTTTGGTGAGAAGCCGGTTGCCCGCAATTAATTAAATTCCCACGTTAGGAAGAGCCGCTTTCCTGCGGACCTGTGGTAATGGAGAATCCCCGGTGTCTTACCTGAAGGGTCAAGTACCTGCCCTGCACATCAACCATGACTCCGCTCCGCTCTCAGAAAACGCGCGAGAATTAATAACGCCCTCTGAGTGGACCGTTTCCTGTTTACCAAACAGCGGGATGTCCGTGTTTTGTCATTAATAACAACTTTTGCAACTGCAGCGCACAAGCCCTCATACTACGAGACCATTTATTGATTCTCTCAGCGGCAGTGCAGTTGAGACTGTACGTTTTTCTTTTCCCAGCTCTTCGATTTTTCTTCTATTCATTGATTACGAATATTAAAAATGCTCAAACCAACCCACGCACACAAGTAGCTTTGTAAATGTCTATTTTTGGCTTTTTCTCTTCTTGTTCACATTTCCCCACACATGTATAGTACTTGCTTTGATCAGCCTTTTCTTCCAGCATGCTTGTCAGCAAAACTTGATGTTGTCTTTTGATATTTCTAGCAGTATGATGTATTTCATGCATTTAAACATCATCTTGATGTATTGAAATGCCCCCCAACTTAACTCTTCAAATTGTCCAGTAAATTATTTATGCAGATAATGCTATTGTATACAGCTTAACCAGTGATTTGGTAGGTACCAAAGAGAAAGCACCCGTGCACTTACTCTTTGTAGCGAGCTGCATTTGCAAGTTTATCAAAGCGAAAATTGCAGTTTAGGTTCGTACAGTGACTTCAGGGTAAAACGCCCTCAAGTGTCGTAGATTACTATCTTGAAAGTAATTACGTAACATGAAATAAATTACGTCTCCTGTTTGAGAACTCAAGCCCTTGTTTTTTTTTTATTATTAATTTCCCACTTTCGGTGGATCCATTACATTGGATTTCATCTACTTTCTCACTTCACTCTTGTGTCAGAAGTAGATAGAACATGGCAGACTGAAATACAGGAAGTCAAAACAGTTGCACCAGGAAGAACGCCTCATTACTTTTACTTCAGACGTATGGACATTTGCACAAGATAATGGCGTTTAATCCAACCAAGGCCCTTTAAGTAAAAGGTCAACTAGTCAATTGACTTTATTGTCGATCTGAACAATCTGTTAGTTCTAACAGATCTTACACCGTGTAGAGTACCCCGTTAAGTGACATGCGCTGAGGGTGTTCTTATACGTAATTACTGAAAGTCAAAGATGTCCAATATTGGCGCGAGGTCTCATAAGGCCGTGACATTGGCTGCATTGAGCACTGTTATAATGGGTCTGTTCATTTAGACATATTTATATGCGACAGATGGGAGCAGATGCTGAAGCTACGAGTACTTGTAGCGAGAGATGGAGTGGTTATTAAACGCAAGGCGGCTGACCTAATTTAATCAAATTCGCTCACAAGGTCTGCACACTGGGGTGAGGAAATCCGTTCGCGGAGCTTTCATGCCGGTGTTTGCTTAGCTTGTTAAAGATGCGCACGCGTGCTTTGGTTACATGGGTGAGCGAAACTGCAGTGGTTGCGATAAGAATAATCCGAGAAACGAACTGACCTCAAGACACAAGACGGCCGTGGGGTGGAGTGTAAATTGAACGGCGTAACCGTACGGTTCAGCACAAAACGGTACAGGCGGTAAACTAAGAAATATAGTGGATTTATGATCGACTCGTTTGAGTGATTGCTCTATTTGTTGTATGACGTTTTTATGTTCTTCAAGCTTACGTTTTTAATTGATCCCAAGTGTATTTGAGCGTTGGTTGTGGATTCTCAATTGTTCTTTCATGTATTTTACCCAGCAACGGCGCAACGATTTTCAAAGTGGATGGGAGGGGGCAGTTGTTAGACCATCAGACACTAGCCATTAATAGGTCGATCCATTGAGCCCCGCCCAATTATAGGACCTGCAAAAAGTGTGTAGGTGGGGCAGCCCCCCCCAAGTCAAAATAGTGGGGGAGGGTCACTGGCCCCCTGCCCCCTCCCTTCCGACGCGAGTGATTTTACCCTTTCTGCATTAATAAGGCATTTCTTTATAAGTCATTGGATTCTAAATGTGACTTTTTGACTGTTCCTGATTTTATAACTGCCAGGTCAAATTTTCATTTGATTCTTGAATGTTTCTATAGTATTTTAATGTCTTTAAGGATATTGATATTGAATGGAGTGGATTGATTATGTTTTAAGACTTGGATGCAACATTTTTACTGACTTAATCATCGGTTGCCTGCTACACCACGTCTCACGTCATTAGGGAATTTTGTTGGTTGGTCACTTTGCTTGCTCACTTTGCCTTAGTCCCCGTGTTGTCATTCTCTTTGAATACCCAACTCGTTTCTTACTCGATAATTTTTAGGTTTAAAATTTAGTTTGTCTCTTAATTGGCTTTTCGTAGACTGTCAATAGGCCTAATGTGCCTTTCTTGTATCTGCTCTACAATCTTACCAGTGGTGCATATACTGACACAAGAAGTTGCGTAGATGTTATTGAGAGGTATGGGAAAGGGGACTTGTGCGGTTTAAAAAAAATGAAACAGTAATGAAATAATCCAGCACAGAAATTCCAATTTGTACTTTCGGGGAATTCAGAAAAAAGTACACTTTTTTATGCACGTGAAAAAATGGACAGTCCTAAAATGACAGTCACATTTAAAGTGTTTCCCTATTGGTTTTGGGTTTTGCTTAACAAAAAGTATTTAAATATTGCAAAGTTGTTTTTCTTCCTTTCTTTTTTAATGGTAGGGTAGATCATTTCCATTTGCCCACTCTCACATTGTGATGTGTGAGTGACATATACTATACTGTCGCCTCCTAGATATAACGAGAAAAGTAATTGTTTGTGAAAACGCGATAAAGCGCGCTGTGTATGATTAAATCCTGACGTTCACCGTTCGTTACATAAAGCGCGCGTGACCAAGCTGGAGTTACCCCTTAGAAATGCATTGATTACCCATCAATCTTTAGGCTGACTTGTTATTACAGTATTCATTGCCTAAGTTAATGATCACCGCCAGATAAACCACTAACTTATCGTATCATTAAATCTGCTTTCGGGAGCATAGCATTCCGATATATTTGGACACAGCCATATTATTGGTACAGGAGTGACGAGTCAGGTATTAATGCGCGCGTGCTCGCTTAATTTGTATGTCTAAGCGAAACGTGCCTTTCACTCGAGTGTTGTTTGCTGTGCACGTTTCGTTTCCTGGTGGTGTGAGATAACCTTCGCTTCTCGTCATCTTCAGAGAAGAGAATTACAGTGGGCTGCTGCTTGCCCCAAACAGGGTGAGGGGAGCATAACAACCCAATTTACATTTCATTTCTCAACTGTTGATACTAAGAAAGGGTAAAATTGAAAGAAGGGGTATTTGAGATCTTATAGGTAAACAAAGTCACAACTCTTTCCAAGGATGGATTTGCGCCGGGGAGATTTTAATTAATCACTTTTGGATTTTTGCCCTGCCCAACGTGTATTATAACGCTGTAACTCAGTGTTTTCCCCCGAAGGCTTGAGAAAAAAGCCACAAGGATACTCGGATGGAACTGGAACCCACGACCTCCTGCTTATTAGTGCAGACGTCTTAACCACTCGACCACTGAACTTACCGGTATCGGCTAGCTGGTTCGAGTCAGAGGTAGTGGCGCGTACCGCGAACAACTATTTCCAAATTCCAGATTCACAACTACATCAAATACAAATGCGTATAATTTCAATTTCATGGTAAGCCTATGTCAGGAATTAAAACGTTGGCAACTTAGTTCAACATACCGATCTAATTAACAATTTTCTACCGGTACCTTCCGGTAAAGGAGATGCACAGCACTTGCATAAATGTCTTTGAAGAGGACAGAATCAGACAGTATCAGATTTGCACTTCTTACATTAACCCTATTCACAGAGCCGTTTTTCAGATTTGCACTTCTTACACTAAACCCTATTCACAGAGCCGTTTTTCATCATGTTTCCTGAATCTATCGTATTCAATGTAATCTGTCAAATGGGTTGGTGCCAGACTATTTTGGGTTCCATGCCTCACTTTCATTTTTTCAAATGCTGCTTAAAACATGTAAAGATGTAGTTCACAACTTTTTTGACTTAGTCATCATCGTAACTGAGATTAATTTGTAGTAAACATTTATTTCGTTACTTTCATTCAAAATGAAAAATTTAACCTTTCTTTCAATTCAATATGGCCGACTGCTGAGTAGGGCCTACTGTCATTTCATGTGTATTTACAGTGTTGTTTCATATTCACCTTCAAGTAATTATCCAATGCATTGATTACAGAATGGCGAGCATTTTAAAAAAAGTGGATGCCATAATGTTCTTATTTTAAATATCTTTCCAACTTTCGTAATATTTATTAAATTCTGCACATTTCAGTTGTGTGTATAGTCCTATATTGTCGAAAGGCTGATGCCTGAAGAAATCCTGTGTGCGCAGAAGAAAATAATTTCTCAGCCATGGGATAGCTTTGTTTCGAAATACGCTCATATTCCAACCTTTTCCGAG